ATGCGGGGCTCGATCCCAGGACCCTGGGATCACGACCTGAGCCGAAGGCAGACGCTTAACGACTGAGCCACCCAGGCGCCCCAATAAATAAAATCTTTAAAAAAGAAAAATAAAGTACTTATTTTAATTGAAGTGTAGTTGATATACAGTATTATATTAGTTTCAGGTGTACAACGTATTCAACGGTTATAGACATTACAAAATGCTCACCATGAGAAGTGTAGTTACCATCTCTCAACATACAAAGTTATTAAAATATTATGTTTTAATTAATTTTTGAAGTCCGATGAAGGCAGTTTGGATCTGTGCTTTTAAATATGTTTAGTAATGTTGTCCATACTTAATAAAGTGGGTCGGTGAATATCAATAGAACAAGCATTTTAAGCTGAGTTAAGTGCATATGTAAAGTAGACATTATTTCCTTGGTTCTAAAGTATTCCAGTTACCTCAGTTTAAACCTCAGATTGTTCCCTGGCTGATTGCATAATATGGAAATTTATGTCCCAGCCTCTCTGAAGCTCACTTTACCACTACTAATAAAACTGATATTAGTGAAGTTATGACTGAACCAGATAAAATGGTGTTGTAATCCCCCCATTCTATTGTGGATGAAACTGAGGTCAGAGAGGGCAGTTTACTTAAGCCGGAGGTATATAAGCTGTGAAGTCAGGCTTTTAATTCAGATATTTTTGCTAGATATTCAGGCTTTGAACCACCTTGCTGTCACAAGAATGCCTTCATCTGGGAAGTCCTTGGCCAGCTCTTCCATTTCAGAAGCCCAGGTGATGCAGTGTGGCTCTGGTGACTCCTTGGGGTTGTGGTCTAATGTGGGCTGTTTCAGGCACCACATTGTCATAGTGGTATTCATGTTCTTCACAGAGTAGGTGATCGGTAAAAGCTGATTGGGCCTTCATTTCTATGGTGAATCCACATGGGGTGTTTTTTCTTAAATTCACCTATTGTGCCTGTTTATTTTTATTTTTAATTTTTTTAAAGATTTTATTTATTTGACAGAGAGAGACACACAGAGAGAGGGAACACAAGCAGGGGGAGTGGGAGAGGG